TACACTAAAGTTCAAGCAGACCAACATTTCCCTTTGAAATTAATCATAATGTATTGGCTCTTGGCAAAAAAAACTATGAAATCACACAGGCATAAAAAACTTTTTTTCTGATTTATATATATTGACACTTTACAATATCACTGATTGTAAGAAAATTTGTGGAAATGCATACCTTCAGCGACGTCAATAGTTCGTTCTAGAACAAAAACAGACAATAACATCTAGTGTTAAAATTAAAAATCAGATTAAAGCCAAAAAAATTCTACAACTAGCGAGGTTTGCTATCATGTTTAGAAAAACATTTTTCATTTTTGAGTCAGAGGCATCATTTCGTGACGTGATGAAGGCTTTTTTCGACAGTTTAGCTAAACATGAAGCAGCGTACAATGGGTGCCACATTTTAGACGGTTTCTTGCCCTGGATAAATATAATTCCTGATTTATTTTTCTTTTTGTGAAAAAAGCCAACAGTTCACCTTTCAACTGAAACGCAATTGCGAAATTTTAAGGTAAAACAAGTCAAGTGAAAATGGTTAGATGACTGATTAACGTTCCGAATGCAATGCTTAAAATATTAAGAACTGCAGGAAATATGGAAATTTTAATCACAGATATCACTGCTTAAACCTATTTTAAAAGTATAGCTAAATTTTCTGAACCTATTCTTTACTTGGGACGCATGGAAAAGTGCTCGGTACAGTAACGCTCCCATTGAAAGTGGATGAATACATGTGAGAACAAAGTCAAGAAGATGCTGTATAAGCGGTTAGTGACCCTGCACATGTTGTTAAAGTTGTCACTTTAAAGTATTTTCTCACTCTTATGAAACTTTTTAATAGCTCTGATCTCGCACCATTGGATTATACCTGCACTTTAGCCAACGGGGACATGAGGCTCAAGTTTTACTTTCATTGATTAAATGTACAAAGTCATTCGTTTGTGGCATGTAAAGCTATTAATAGTAATTTACGTGAATGTATCAAAAAGGTATTTTTTGACCATTTATGAACGTTTTCAATCTGGGTACTAATAGCTTCACAGGTTTATAACATCTGCATAAACCTAACTTATTGTAGTTATTTGCTTTTAATTAGTTTTAAGAACCACAGTTGCAAAAAAACTGGTTTTATTTTAGCGTCAATCCGCCTTTACATTCAAGTTCAGTCACATAATAGCCAGCCACAGTACTTAAATGTGTGAGTCTGTTCTCAGGGTGGTCAGAAACATTGGCAAAAAAGATGGAGATTTCGATGCATCATTGTAACCCAAAGGCGTGGTTACAAATGATTCCAAAAAGCTATTTCTTTAGTAACTACCTGTTGGAAAATCTATATGACAAAGCTAAATGTTCTGTCTATTCAAAAAAAGGGAAGAGTACTATTGACTCGCTTAAATGGTGAATCTAATAGACACTTTGTAACTTGGTAATTTATTCCTCAGGTAAAGCTGTTAGAAACCTGTCAGTTGAATTCACGCCACGCATATTAACCGATGAGGATAGAAATTCAGCCTAGGATGTTCCTCTTGATGCAGTTCCTCTATCCAGCGCCAGAGCTTCATAAAACATAGCAATGATTTCTTCTTGAAGCTAATCTGAGATACATAGTCGGAGCAAAAAAATGTTAAAGTATATTGGCATCGGCTTATGTTAACATATTATTTTATTTGAAAGATTTAAGTGAGATTATTGAAGAAGGCCAGTCGTTGATAAAACTTTTTTTTGTTCGGCATTAGAAACTATCGGTAAATATGGAAACCATGATAGGAAAACATGCGATTTAGTAGCCGTAAATTAAAGGGAATCCCATAAACTAAAGAAATAACATTGCTATTGGCATCGCTAATTTTAGTTTTTGTTGTCGAAAATGTATAGTTTTATGGAGTTTCGCTATATGGAATTCTGATTTGGACCACCTTACACCTTGCCCTCATCACTCGACTGATTCCTTGTCATTGTTGCAACTGCAGGCCCAACTAAAACATTTCTCACCCTCCTTACACAGGAAATAAAGCATACATTAGTTAGTTAATTGATAGTCGTTTAAAACGTACACTTGAACTAAGCCCTGAGGTGTTAGTAGACCAGTTAATGGTCATACAGGTTGACAATTGCAGTCCAAACCAGTTTTCTCAAATACTTGAGCAAGCCTCAGCTATCAATCAGATACACTTTCTGGGAATCCCTATTTCATTTAAAAAAATTCTTTTTTATTTAAAGTCTTCGTTACAGAGGCCGATAGGTTCAGTTGAGAATCAAACACCGTTTGATGTTTATCGAGAATTAAAAATTGGTTTTGCGTTTTTTTAATCACGTGAAATGCGTGGCAGTGTCTTTGAGCATTTATTGGGAACATTTATATTAGGTTTGATTTTCACCGAATGAAATAGAGCCTTCACATCCATAACCTGGATTAGGAATAATTGCTTAAACTATTGTATCAGGTTGGGATCAAAAACCAACGTCATTGAAAAACACACTAGCATAAAATTCACAAATCTATTTTTGAACCATTTTGACAACAGCAAAATATATGAATAACTTGCAACCCCAGAAATCCAGGTTTTTAAGGTCGTTAGCTTTTTCGAAAAACGAAAATGAAGTATAATTTAAATCATTTTTTTAAGAAAGCCCAAAGCAAATTTGGCAAGATTACAGATTCGACCACTCCCTCCTCAATATTGCATCGATTTGCCATTTGAGGCATCGCCAAATCTTTTTATTGGACAGTAATACGCACTCGGTATTCACATTACGAAATGATATGATCTTGCATTATAATAAATGTAGCAGAAATCAGGAAGCAGCGGAATAAGTAACCAACAAATCAATCTTGGCATGATTGAATTAATGCTGTAAGTATATGCATACAAAAAATGGACGTAAAACCAATTCTGACACATATGAAGTTAATTAAATGTAGAAAATGAAAATCAGACCATCAGGTCACACTTTACGAAAGGACCGTTATTAGATTTTAAACGGAAAAGAAAAAGACATTATGTCTCAATACATTTAATTTAGTTTTTTTCGGATATCTGAAATGCGTTAAATGTAGACACAGTATTGTTTAGTTCAATTTGAACATATTCATTAATTGCACAGATAGTGAACAGCTCTGATAAATCCTAAAAAAAAAACAATTTTTTAGTTCCATCATGAGTTTAGTAACTTAAATAATGGGTCGAATAGGATGCCCTAGAATTCGCCTTTATGCCACCACAACGTAGTGAAAGTTCGCCAGTGCGATGATAGGCAGACTCAGTATGGCCAATCATGTTTAAATACAACGCAGTGGAGCTCTGGACTGGAAAGGATGCAGTCCGTTGATATCACTACCTCAAGGATGGCTAAACTATTCACAAGTCTCCTAATTTTACAATACTTTGTATCAGCAGATTCATCTCCCGTAGCTTCGACTCGACTACCCTCGGCACGTCACTTCGACCTTGATGGACGAGTCACGGTTTCAGGCGTGGAAATCCGGTTCTCTGACGCAAAACTGCCACCAGTACATGCCATTTATGGTATTCGATATGCATCTTTGGGTGGGAGAGTGGATAAAACAGAACAGAATATGGCAGGAAGAAATGATCAGAAACCAGCGAAGAGAAGGTTCATGCATTCCGTCGCTGCGTTTATCTACGATACTCCAAATAAAGGGCACCTTCAGAAGACCACAATGCCCCCTGTGTGCCCGCAGCCACAAAGAACGGAGCACAATGGCGTGGGGGAGGGGCGGGCTGGCCGGGTACCACTCAGCTACCACCTGGAGAATCAGGCTGAGGACTGCTTGACTTTGAACATCTTTGTTCCGGAGTTGGGTAGGTACTTCTTTAATAAAATAAGTCAAATATAAAACCGAACAACTTAATTGTGGGCAACAAATGACCCCGAGAATTGCTCGCTAAGGCAACTCCAAGGGAGCCCTGATTGTGAGTTTATTGTTTTGAGGCTGCTAATTTGGTTCAAGTAGTTATAGCTTTGAGTATATCTGCAATGCAAAGTGACTGTTCGAATACAAACGTTGACATGGAATCACTAAAATAGTAGTTGTTATTTTGATAAAGATAATGCAAAAAAGGTAATGCGTGTGTGACTACCTATTTTACTGTAATCAATTATATTGATTTATGAGAGCATTCACCACTTTATCTAAGGAAGTATTTCATCATTTTATCCTATTTAAGTGCTGCTCGGTTTTCAAACGCATAGCGTTAAATGAAACACGAGCTGTGCACCACCAGCCAACAACCGTTTTCTGCAGGCGTCTCAAAATTCACCGTCGTCATGAAACAGCAGTTTGTGCACTTACTTATTAAGAATTTTTATTAAATGTGAATTTGCAAAAATTGTGTATGATTGTGAAAGGATCGGTGTCTTGAGTAAAGCTTTGAGAGCTATTCTGTCTATATTTGCCCTTGGATAGGAAATGTATACCTAGATCTGGGGCTTGTATTGAAGCGGCAGTGTGTGTGAGGTTAAGCACTTGGGTAGCTACAAATGCTGCGTCGACTTAGTTGAATCCAATTTAGCTCTACACAAATGCTTCCGAAGTTCCTGACTCGTTACAACCAGAAGGACTATTTTGCATGTAAATAAATTCTGAAAATTTTTTGTCTCTCTAGTCAGTTAAGGTGTATTGAAAACACAATATTAATCCTTGTAACTTATTGAAATGTGGAAAAAATTATCACATACCCGGCTAAAACTAGGCTCAAAAGATAGTAATCGATTTTAGCGCTCCAAAGACATTTCTACAGAAGAATTCTTTAAATTATGCCTGGGACAGCGAAGTTAAAGCCTCAGATGACATTATACTGCAATAGAATTCATATGCGCTAAGCTAATGAGGAAAAATGAAATAAGGAATAGGTACTAAAATGAATTTATTTCTGAATTGCGAGTGGTGCAATGGTAACATGACCGAAAAAAACTGGTGAATTATTTCTAGGGGAATGGCATCTAGTATCACTAGATGATGTAAGCGCGTGAATGAGCTCGGCACCTGTTGAAGGTTTTGTAAAGGTACCTGAATAATAATTTAAAACAAAGTTCGAGATTATAGATAAGTATTCGTGAATCTAAAGGCTCTGTGTTGTCATAGTTGATGGGTGGAAGACAATAAACACTTTGATAGCGTTGTATGTCAACTGAGATGACAACAGCAAGGCTGGAATAGGATATGAATTATTTTAAAGGTGAAGGCCAAAAGACACATTCAGTGCGTCTGGTAACTATGTAGAATCCCTCAATGTAAAATTACATCAAAATGTAAGGTCATGGCATGTGGCACTGACACTGAATTGTAAAGGAAAATACCCGGTAAAATGGAAATCATAGGATTCCTTAGTAAATGGAGATACTGCATTCTTTCCATAAACTCATCACAGGATCCGATCTGGTGTTAATGCAGCTTAAGTTTAGTAAAAAAATTAATTTGCATATGTGGAGCTAAATGAAATTTTCACTTAGCTGTGATGTTCTTTGCGCAAAGATATTTGGGGACTGGATTCTCAATGCAGACACGGGTTGCCCAAGTAAGCTGACTTTTTTAATGTCAGTTGTTGCAATTTAATACACATTGGTTACCTGAAAACCACAGGCAAAGAACCAACCTTGTATTCAAAACTACCGTTGGACAGAGAAAGAGAGAGAGTAAACTTCAAGCAGGCGAGCAGTTGTTCCCTTACAATGGATAATAATCCTTACTGAGAAGAGCAAATTCTCACAACACTGACAATTGTCTTAAAAGAGAAACAAAGGAATCCGGAAAACTACTGCTTACCTGTAGTTTAATCGCAATTATCAAAAATAAACTTATGAGGAAATTACAAATTGGTACACAGTGGCACATTTGTGAATTACCCAACAGTAAAATGCTTAAAGCCAGTCGTTCGGTTTCGGAAAGTTAACAGCGTCACACGCAGTTTTTTTGTCTCAAAAGTGAGTAAATCTATGTCTGCCGGGAATCGAAGGGTCAATTTGAAGAGATTTGTTTGCTGTTTCGAGATACACTACCAACACATAAATAGGACTGGCTTTGTATTTTCTGTTGTTGTTCAATTCTTTTTATCGTTCTACCGATTCGGAACTCTTTCATCAAGTTTTTGAACCGTCCCGGTGTTTCTGAAATAAATGTTGACGTTTTGGTCGGCACTTTAAATTCTTCTATAAATCAGTATAACACGTGGATTTCCATGACTCTTCACGAGGACATTTTCCAACCGAACCCTCACGATTCGCTTTGAAACGATATCGTCGCCATGCGCAAACAACATTACGAAAGTCTACTATTTACCTTACATAAATGAGTCAATGCATTAAAACTGACAGACACCAAGGGATGTCATGGCAAAATAAGTATGCACATTTACTCCCTCACTTCTCACAAGGCAGCATTCATTTCGCAGCACTGCACACTGTAGGGTCAATCACCTCTAATATTAGAATAAAGTATTATAGTGTAAAAAATCATGGTTAACCACCACCATTTTTCCTTAGGAAAGGTAAATGTTTGAGGTGGCCAACAGGCTTACAGAAGCCGCAAAGCTTCCTTAATTTATGCATAATCCAACATATCTCTGATCCACCCTACAAAAATGCAGAACTGAAACTGTAGATTTTAAGAAGGAAAACCGTGTGAACTAGAGAATCATAGCCTAACTCCAAGTAACGAGTGCTTACCTAGCAAACACTCGGCCATGCCATTCTTGAAACCTCTTCCCCTTAACTCAGGTGGTGCACCATCACCCGTGTCTGCATCCGCCAGATACTCGTTGGCCATTTTTTAATCATACACTCGTGTAGTCACTTAAAATCATGCACCGCATGCCTGACGGGAGTGTGAGAGTTCGTCGGCCTCATTATTTTGCCCTTCACAGTTTTCTCTGGTCAACGATGGGTCTGTGATCACATTGACGCCTCCCTGCAAGAATTGTGCTGGCCTTAGTTGCCACCATGACAAAAGAATGCCACTTTCCTACATGAAATTGCTTAACTTGACCCTATAAATCTACATTTCCAAACCTTTGTATGAGAATTAGTTCTAGTAAATTTAGACCTAAATCGTACTAAAGTCGTGGACTGTTTTTTGAACTGGAATAATGCATAGTACTATGCATACTGAATTTCCAAACCCAGTAACTTGCAGAAGGATAAGGTCACTTATTTTATTATCTTTTTTAGAAAAGGGGCATGCTAAAAGACCTCTTCCAGTGTTAATCTTCGTACATGGAGACTCATTTGAGAACGGGTCTGGAAATGAGTATGACTTTAGCTTATTTGCCAGCCTTGGGAGCGTTATCGCAGTCACACTCAATTACAGATTGGGACTTCTAGGTAGGCAACTACATTCTGGTCCTCAATAGTTATGTTTTAATTTCAAACTCAATGATTTCGCAATTCCTACATTGTTACAAGAGGGCCTTGGCACAGAAATATCAATCATCATTCTAGGGCTTTGTTGAGATCATATTTGATGAATGGTCGTTAATGAAAAGGAATAGTCAACTATTGAAAACTGTCTTTAAACTTTCTGTAAGAACTGTTTCTAAGACAGTTCTGTTCACACTTTCATGCAGCATATGAAGTGCTTAGCTTATAAAAATGCGCACAATATCAAAGTAAATTGCGTATAAATATAACACTGTTAACTGTACGACAAGTTCACCTCACTTCACACGCATAAGTACATTACGCATAGTATTTTGGAAAAGACAACGATGAGCAACACTCAACAACTGGAAGAAAGGCTCAAGTGAGAGCGACTAAATCCATCAAACACTAAATGACGATTTTAAGGAATAAATTCTTAATAATATCCAGAACTTTAGTGTATGCCCTGTTCGTTTTAATATTTGTTTATCGGGGAGTTGTACGTAATCTGATTATTACCATATGTGTTTGTAGAGATTTCTAGAAGCATTTGTTGAGTTAAAATATTTGTCAAAAAAAATATCTGAGTAGTCCTGATCTGTTTAAAAACCAAACATCAAACACACAAGGGCCGCATTTTATGTCACGCTTTCCACTTTAATTTGCCATTGTTTTGAGTTGAAGCTGTACGCAATCAAAATTATTCTGAATCCCAGGTTTCCTGACGGAGAACTCATCCAGCTCGATACGCGGGAATTTCGCTCTGTTTGACCTTCAGGCCGCGATTCAATGGGTCCACTCTAACATTCACCGATTCGACGGTGACCCCAATCTTGTAACTTTAATGGGCCATTCCCACGGGGCTGCACTTGTGCATATTTTTGCTACGTCGCTGCTCTCAGTTGGTAAGTTTGCAACTCAACGATACATCCCATTCTCGAATGCATTCTTAAAGGTAATAAAATAACTCGAAGTACCACATATATCACTAAAAGATTCCAGATTTCATGTTTGACCTGTTCATCCGCTACGTGCCACAGTTTCTAAAAGGTAAAGTTGCAAAAAATTGACTTGGTTCGCTGCCACGTATATTTTAAAACCTTGCTTGGCCGCAATTGCCAAATTTGGGACTAATGCAAGAAGTCAAAATGAATTTATCAACGTTCAAAAAAGTTCGAATGCCATCGAGGTACAAAACAAAAAAATTGGTAGATTAATAACGTGAAAAAACACAGTCTGTAATCCATTAGAGTGAGATAACTATAAATAACATTTTTGAACACATTGTGTCACAAACAAGGTCATTCAGATTGCTTCAATCGGCAGCAAACAATCAGTTTATGTAGTAAAAGTAAGCGAATTTGTTTATCTACTTATACAGATAATTTAGCTACCGGGAGGATAAACGTCTTGTTAGTGTGCTCGGTAGGCTCTCACCTGGAAACCCTGAATAAGCTACTCGTAAATTCTATATTGCTCGTGGGCTAAAATGCCTTTTTTATGATTTAGAAGCTTCAGCGCATTTAAGTGCACTTGATAAGTGGTTCTACGTTTCTTCACTTTTTACGCCAATAGCATCGACAGGTGTGCACCTAGTCCACAGTTTTAAATTTTTCGGTCCAGCTAAGCTTATTTTATAGTTGACCCATAATTTAATAAGCCTTACAACAAATGAATGAAAATTCTCGCATTTATGCATTCAAAAAAGATCAATTCATATTATGGAATTACGATAATGTTAACTATTTGGTTGGAAGTAGACTATTTTGAACAAAAAACGTAAAGTCCCTATATCTGTGTGCAGCCTTCCCAATTTGGAACTTCGAAAGTATTCCAATGGCTGCAGCCTCCTACGAGAAAGCTCAAATATCCTAGCCTAAGTAGGAGTTAAAAATTATGATTAACTTTAGGCCCACGGATACACTAAACTTATTTTGAATACTTAAAGACCTTATTTAAAGAAATATTCATTTCCGAAGCAAATACTGAGGTGAATTTGCAGAACATATAACTGAGAGATGTGTAAAAACACGAACACGTACTATAACAGTTCATTCAGCAGTCTATTAATTTGGTCAGATAATGAATGCGTTTGACTGCCGCCTGTGGCTAACTTTATTATGATGACTCAGACAATATACGCGGAAGATGGCAGAAATACATTAATCGGCTATAACATTATTTGAACGTTGTAAAGCAGAAATGGAAATAGAGTGGAACCAGATGACTTCACCAAAGCCTGAGCCAATCACTTCTAAGGCATTAGTCTACAAAAACACGCTTCGCTTTATCAGCGAATCGGATGTGTGCATGATAGGCAAACAGGTGTCATTTCGTATTTGGGTAGTTCAAGTGTAGGAAATTATATAAATAGCACTTTCTGCCTTTTTTCACCAGAGAATATTGGGTTTGAGAAGTGGCCTTAGTGAATAAAATTCATGAGTGATTTTTCAATGTGTTGAATTTCCCTTGACGATGAATTCAGTGCTTATAAACTTGTAGGAGGATGTTAAAGTGGTTCACCCACTAACATGTGAAAGATGTGAACTTAGCATTCTTAGTTCCTTTGACAAATTTGCGAAAAATTTCTTAATGCACTTAGAGTTTAATGGACGTCATTGGGCCACACTAATTTAACAAAGCACTTCAGGAAAATGAATTAAACTAAGGCTTCCAGCAGTGAAGGCAAGTGTAGAACCTCATGGTTTGTGAGAAGCGCGTAGCCCTCATTTTTGGCTTTTGACTGTTCACTTTTACTTGAAGGTCCAAATTACTATGGAATAAAACGACTCATCATGCTGGATGGTTCTGCGAACGCACCCTGGGCGACGACTACCCGTAACTGCGACCTCAAACACTTTATCGAAAGACAATTTAAAATTCAGCAGCATCCTTCCGCTTCCATATTTGATTTGCTTCGAAACTTTCCAATTACCGTTATCCTGGAAATACAACGAAACTATTCACGCCTTGATCTGGACGGCTGTTTCTCTTTACCATCAAGAAAACTGCAGGTAACCTCTGAAAAGAAGACACTCTTTGGCAAAGCTGGACTTCTATACGGACAGACGGGATTAGCAGGATCGTTATTCTACAACAAAGCAAACTTTGACCACAGAGACGATCATTTTTTGTCGGCTTTGTCCTACTTGCTGGGGCGCATTTTCCGTGTGGCACCATACCCGTTGGCGGATTTAGTGAAATACGTATACACACAATCTGGTAAACAGACGGAGAAAAGTAGAAAAGACGGCGAAGAAAAAAACAAAGTATGTTTTCATTTAATGCATGCTACGTGCGTGTAAATTGATGGATCCCACTAGTAACCTGGACAGTTGTTTTCGGTTTGATAAATGTGGGCCTGTATCATGCAGCCTAAAACCTTGCGACAAAATCCTTCAATTTCCATGGTATTTTGAATATTTGTCGTGATTATGATAGAACTTCAAAGTGGGTGAAATTCTGCCCATACTTGATATCAGCCGCACGTTGCCCTGTTCAAATACAGAGTCGGCAACGGCGTTTGTGGTTCTAGATATATCCCCATCACCTTAAGTTGTTTCAGCAAAAAGATTGGCTACCGCCGTAAGCTGTTACAGTTTCTTCAATTTGCAGATCCAAGAAGTGTTCACTGATGCATTATTTTGGAGCTCCGGTGTAGCAACCCTCAGACAGCATTGCAGCGGACAAGAACAGAGCTCAGCATTTGGCTCGACGGAGCCTTCACGTTATGCCATTCATCTTTCACACGCAGCCTACGGCGATGACCTTGATCTGTTACTCGGTGTACCGTTTACTTCCGCTTACTCCCCGAGGGGCATCGTAGACCGCCTTATTTCCCAAAGCTTTATACACTTCTTGGCAAACTTCATTTACTCTGGGCAAGTTAGTTGACATGCTTTTTTAAACCTACTCATAGTGGAATAATCATGATTGACATTTCAACTGCCAAACGTGACTGCTATTTAAGCTCTAGTTATATAACGGCGGATAGGAGGGTCAATGAGATAGGAACACTTGAAATTTTAATATTCATAAATTGGCGATTACTTATGCTAGCTACGTGTCTAAGGGCCGCATTTTGTAAGCGATTGTTCTACTTATTGGTAGCCGCTCGATTAGTAGCATAGTCTGGAAGAGTTAGACATTGACACACATACTTATTTGTTTACTTATGACTAAGTTCAAAATTGTGAATTAGGCGCCACTGGTAGGCTAGAATTACAAAAGCTAAGTTTTCAAAGATTATTATCCCTGATCGAATTGTGAACGGGATTTTGCATTAAAATTAAACGGCGCTTAACCGATGAACTTCGATGCAAGGAAGGTAAGGGAGCAGGAGCGGTGTCTGAATCCGAATCATTCGTCAGTGAACATTTTGGATTTTGGAACTGTTGGGGATCCACGATTCCCCAAGATTGCTTTCTGATGCTATTTACAGTTATTCACTAACATTTGTTTTGCTACACTTT